TATATATATACAAGAATTTGTTTCAACTTGTTGCGTACAAGTTTGGTACTTTGGTCTGCAACTCTAAAATTTATGACAGTTTTAATTTTGTTTATTCATTTTCAATTCCTTGTGCTCATTTGCTTACTTATTGCCATAAGCAGATTTAGCAAAATAATTTCTCCAGTATTCTAAATTTATTTGGCAAAGTTTACTTTATAAGTTCAGCATTCGAATATAAACACTTGTTCAAAATGCATGTATCTTAACTAAATTCGAAGAGCATAACAAAGCCCATTGTGAGAATTACCAAGCAAGGGAGGCACGCTTTTTATATTTTAAAGATGGATCAAATATTTTTTTATTCGACTTATTTTAATTGTTAATATTAAAATTTTTTGTTTGTTAGATCGAGCACAATCTATATCATCTTCCTTTTATATTTTTTTTTCTATTTTTACCACAAAAATCAACCATCTATCTCAAGATTAATAAAATATGTGTATCATGAATGGTTTACTTTATTTGTTTCATATGCATCTCAAGACATTTGTAAAAGTTATAATATTTTAATAATTGATTACGCATACATTTGAACAACCTAAAATCTAATCTATTATGTGTTTTTTCATACGAATCTATGGATGAATCCTAATAATGACCTGTCCTGCTTTGTGATCTGGAGAAATGATTGTGATGCATAACACTTATTTTGATTGATTAAGGAAGATATTTGAGTTACAATACACTTTCTGGTATTTGACCCATATCACGATTAGATGATATGATTTAAATTATAAACATTAATTTAGTTTATCAAAACAATTAAGAAATCTTATAATTTTAAATATAATAAATAATTTGAAGTTTTGATTAATTACTATTTTATCTCAATGTATATTTGTACGAAAAAAAAACTATAAATTAAGATAATGTTTAATTTCTCGGATGATTTTCACTTTTGTGAGATTGTGTTAAATTGATTTTCATTTTTAAAAAAATTTCAATAAAAGTTTTGATTTCAATTAAGTCTTTATATATATATATATATATATATATATATATATACACTTTTT